TTCATGTAGAAAGCTCTCCAGCTTTCAGTCTTGTATTATTCCTTAGTTATTCAAGAATCAAGAACCTAGACTTTTGTTAATATATCATCTTCACCATCAAGAATCCAAGATCTCACGCCTACCTTTCTCAAGTTAAGTGACCAAGTCCCAGAGAACCTGACAGGTCGATATCAAGATAGAAATGCTAACACATTTACCACCCAGCACCCCCCTAGTGGAATTATATCTGAGGATCCCTCGTTATTATCTATAATCTTAAAAGTTATTAATAAATTACCTTCGGCAGACGGCGATCTACAGTATCCTTAGCGCATACCATAACAGAAATTTTGGCGTTTGAGAAGGGATTTTCTTTTGAATAGCTTCGCGCACGCTTGTATTTGGTTTGTGAGAAGGTGGGAGTCACTGCAAAGAAGATGACAGTTGGGTTGTGCGGTGGTACATTATCCGGGCAGATCTTCAAGGTATAATCTAGATAATTTGGATACATCCTACATGAGACATAGAATTACTGCTTTGAGTCCAGCACGACTACATCACTTTTCTAGCGGTGCTGGTAGATACAAATGACGAGGGTATGCTTGGGTAACCAGATTATTGGAAATTTCTTCAATTTGGTACACATAGAAGAGGATCGACTTTTCATTGTATTCAAACAAATTATATAGCGGTATTCGAAAGAGAAATGTAGAATTTAAAGATAATGTTAAATTTTAAGGTTCAAACATAATCATCCCTACAATTTAACATAATGGAGTTAGGGTTGTGGTTATTGGTTGCCTAGAAGTTCAAAAGGGTGAGGCGTCTGTTGATTTTATATACCCTGTGTTAGTAGTTTCATATTAGCGTGTGGATGAGACGAGGAGCCATACATTAGTGGGTGCAAGGTCGCGATACTTCTATTAAGTGCGTAGACGTAGAGACGAAGACACATGCAACGATTCAACTCTATACTTAATCAAATCTACTTCCATGTATTCCTGTAACAGTCCTACTGTATTACCCGTCTAGAGGAATCATATTCTAATATTTGACTTTAATTATAGAAGTTATCTAACATGTGCGCAAGACATTACTCATATGTTATACCTAAAAATTCGAATTCATAACTGTCTAGGAGAATTAGTATTGTTTGTGTGGAATGTATAACTATAAGTTCGGGCTGGAGGCCTCAAGATTTCATATGTTTTTCTCTCACACATGCAGCTGGGTAAAAAGCAATGCACGATAATTTACCTCTCACTACAAATTAAGCAATCTGTACATGACTGCAGCTGCCGTGAATCGAACACGAACCTCCACCTTGGAAGGGTGGAATCCTAACCATTGGACCACAGAAGCTTGCAAGGGTAGAAGATATAAGCTTTATAAACTATAATCAATTTTCACCTCTCAGTGGATTTTCAGGACATAAGCACTGCCAGTATTATCTAACTTCTAGATCGAAAGCTTGGAGTAAATGCAACACGCAACAGCAATATTGAGTGGTTACCAAAAGTCTCTCCTAAAATCCGGCGTTTTCCTAAGATTTTGGCATCAAATTTTGGTACTACGAGAATTCTACATCATATCCATGCGAGAGACGCGTAGAACGACTGAGACAAGACATAAACCTTTGATTTTTTTATCATTTTGATAAAATTTGCAGGCGTGGCATTGGTCTAGAAAAAGCTAATGACACAATCAAATGTGTGGTATCGAGGTTTGAATATGTCGTAATGTAGCACTTGAATTTACCTGGGAATACATACTAGAGTGTAAGGTGTTGGTGCAAAAATATATTTTGGGGCTTCTTTATCTAGAGAAATGCTTCCGATGACACAATTAATTATCAATTGTTCTATATGGCTGCTAACTGATAAGAGACGTTAATCGATTATTCTTACGACGGTCAAAGCGATAATAATGATGCTAGGGAAAAGGAAGGACACTGCGATATCAAACGCTGCAACGCTTGGCAGAAAAGCCCTCGATATATCCCAACGGAAGCTAACCTCTGCTGGGCGGAAAGGAGCCCAAGGAAACAAAGTAAGAAAGTAATTTGCTCTCAAGAAAAGTGGATTTTACAGCTTTCCCGAGAAACCTTATCGTCACCAACGGCCTTCATTTCTTGGGCAGTAGATGGGGGGTGTACAACTGAAAAAGGCTCATGTATATTCACGATTCAAGGCGATCTTTTGGCAAGTGATCCTGTGGTAAGAGAAATTTGTAAGATGCATAGACGTGCAAATGCACCTTGGACATGTTTATCCTTGGCCCAAATACTGAAAGAATCTTTACGTGCTATTTAATGATAGAGTGAGAACGAGCAGTAATTATGACTGATCCGCCATCTGTTACAGTTTAACCGTTGTTTGAGCTTAGGTGAATAGCTAAGCGTATAGTTGAGAATATTTACAACAAGGCTGCATGGGGAGGATAGATGAAGCTAAACAAGATGGCACTACTAGTCAGGAGGTCGAAGTGTTACTACAATTAAGTAACACCTGACAATGCGTGGCTGGGTAGCAAGTATTGTGCCTAAGGATAAACCATCAGTCTGGAGATTGACAGAGGGGACCAATTCTTATAAATACCTGTTAGTCGTAGCTAGAGTTCTCTTTTTTCCTCATATAGCTTAATAAATTGATTTATTCATCACCAACTCGGATTCTGTCACACAACCCAATCTAGTAACGGTTATCCTAACAATCGAAAAATATTGAAAGAAATCATATTTGACCAAGAAGCTGCAGAGGGACGGGCGTAACAGTTTCCATTTAGAAAGCTTGGATATCTGTCTGTCAAAAAGTATTTAATTATAAGCCGCAGATCAAGATCTGCATGAAATCCAGCGCCTTTTTATACACAAGATCCTCCGATGCAGATGACTAGTAGCTATTCCCCTCCCGAGCCGTCTTTTTTTTCGCGTCAGATTTTGATTGCGTATGCAGCTATCAAGCTATGACACAATATCAGAAATAAAGTACCAAAAAGATGACTCAACGTACAAGAAGAGCACTCATGCCTCGGGTTTTATTTCCAAGTACCTCTGCGAAGTTGTGGCGGTTTTTTCCTCAACCCAACTCAACCCTCATCTATGAATACCCCCACCTAGGGAAGTGTCCCAGAAACCCAGAGTTGTCCATAAATGTCTCCATCATCCATTTACTCGTTTTAGGATTGACCCTCAATATCTGTAAGAACAAGTTTTGGCGTATTTCAAACTTAAATTTCTAAATGTGATTAAAATCTTTAGTTAGATTCACGAAGTCCTCCACAGTCTTAGACTCAGTAGCGACTGTAATAAAAATCTAATCTAATCCATTTACTCGTCTCCGCGCGAAATGCAGTCCGAGGCGTCTCCTTCCCAGGTGGAGAAGGTGCCCAGGCTACTCAAACTATACTGGAGAGCACCACCAGGAGGCGGTCCACGGCACCTTCCATCGTTTGCTTGTTTTTACAGTGTCAACTGCGTTCTCGTAATTAAAAGCCTGGCGCATACGGTACTCTCCAATTTGTAAAATCCCTCACCAAATTTCTCAATCTTGGTGGAAATGGAGACATAGAGTGTTGTGGACGTGCGGGCCCTCCATTTCGTCTAGGTTCCCGACACGATCTTGGGTGTATGTAAGAGATCGGAATGTGTAATGTAGTAGCGCTTCAGGCTACATAATGGAGACATGAGCGGCTGTATGGCTTAGCGTCTGTGTCGCTTACACTTGTACTTATAGCGAATACCTTCCACTCTTCTAGTCAACTTCTTTCGTTCCGTAAATATTGCGCCATATTTCCAACAAGTATCATACCTGCCAAGACTGTATCCATCCTCTGCATAATCTGGAGAGCTTGTCCCAATCTCTCACATCCACCGCAAAGAACTGTCTCCCAGATTTGTGCACGACGCTTTGCTTCCTCCTGCGAGCATAAATATTGGCGTGGGCGTATATTTGGTGACCAGCTGAGGCCAGAGAGAGTAGACGAGAGGTGTGGTCATTGGAATGAGAATGTCCTTGGTCATACTTGTAAACTTGATGAGGCTTTGGTAGGAGTTGATCTCCTTGAGAGTGAAAGATTGACATGGTGTGTTTTGAATCATTGCCTCGTGGGCCAACTTCTTTGATATTGCGAAACTTGACTGAACTTGGCTCTGGGAGAATATTTCACAGCCAGCTTTGTAGAAGGTACCGTGTACAGGTTTTTCATCTTGCCCTCCATTTTAAAATCATTTGATGTGTATGCAGCTATCTAGCTATGACACATGATCAGTGCTATGTATACATGCTGGATGACTCTTTGGAGGTTAGAGACGCTCATACTCTGGATTTCATTCGTAAATACCACCATGAGGTATGTTTACTTACAAAAACAGTCAACCCTCCTCCGTAAGAAGCCACCAAAGGGAATTTCAAAACCTTTGATTATCCAAGCAAGCCTTTTTCATCCATGCAAGCTTGTACAGTGAGAAAAGTGATTGTGTTTTGCCGGATTTGAAGCAGCAATCTACTGTCTCGAGTGGGATGCGTGTCCAAACTATCCAGACTCTACTTGGAGGACCGGCCTAGACAATGTACCACCGCACCATCAAACTGTCAGGCCCGCATCATCAGGGTGAAAGCTGGTTCACGATAGTGCTGTGCGCACGGACATTTCCCGACTTTGAACACAAGCGTTACTTGGTGCTGAGGATATGAATATTCCTGTACTGAATAGTACAAGCTACAGGCACTCTATCAGCCGGCTAACCGCCACAACGTATAGCACATATTTGGCGTTATTTGATAGATATCCACCGAGAGCGTACGCATAGAACGTGTGCTCCCTTCGTTTAAAGGTTAAAGCCACTCTAGGCGACAACTTCCCTTGTCAATCTCATCATCGTAGCTTATAGCTCCAAAAACGCGTGACCAGCCAACTCACGACACTAAAAATCATCAAGTTGTACTGATAAGTTTACAAGGTATCAAAGGAACCAATCTTGAGATCAAATCTAGTATACCCTCACTCCAGCTTCAGTCGTCATGTCATCTGTCGCCCCAGTAAATTCCGAACTTCCCACCCTACATCATCTCAATGTAAGGTTTAAATTCTCCTTATAACACTGTGATTTTGTGTTGATCAGTTCCCAGAACTCTGTATCACAACGCATATTATGGCTCCTTGAGGAACTATCGATCGAATATAATCTCAAATTGTATTCGCGCGACCCAGTAACTCTACGTGCTCCGCCCTCCCTCGCAACTGTATCGCCTCTCGGAAAATCACCTGTGCTAGTCACTAGCGACAAAGGAACCTTGACTGAGAGTAGCGCCATAGCTGCCTATCTGTTATCTACATTTGATAGTAAGGATTTGTTTGAACGGACCAACTGGCTGCGAGATGAAATGTTGACATCTTTTGCTGGCACTACCATGGGACCTCTGCTGTTAATAGAGATATTAACCGACATAGCGGAAAGTAAAGCCTGGTGGCCAATCAGCTTACCTGTGCGTTGGGTGCGACAAGCTATTCATAAAAATATATCGGGTCCAGAATTACGTAAAGGTTTGGTCTGGTTAGAGTTAGAATTAGGGTCAGAGGAATGGTTTGGAGGGAAAAAATTATCAAGGGCTGATATAATGATTATTTGGCCGCTTGATCTCATAAGCCAAAAGGGATGGATTGATATTCGAAAGGATTTCCCAAAATTGGCTGCTTGGAGAGAGAGAGTGATGGAGAGGTCAGCGTGGAAGAGAGCTATTGCAAAAGGAAATGGTTATGATCTGGCCAAATGGTAAGAAGCGGAGCTCCGTTTTGGATTAAGATTTGTCATATAAAAACGTAATATCCTTGTCACTGTTGGAGAATTAATGTAAATGAAGCAGGCCGGCATATAAATAGGCCAAACTGTTGTATCTTCGCTTTAACCACAGTGGGCCTTTCCGTGGGGATCTAAGTTTGTTCATCTATTGGGAATAAATGCGATTGCTTGAGGGTACCTGAACACTGCGATAAGCTTTAGTCACTTATGATTTACTTGCGTTGCCAATTGGAATAAATGCAGCTTTTTCGGACTATCTAATGTCCCACATGGAATTTCGGAGAATTTGTAGAGGCAACGACTGGGATAACTTTAATCTTGTTGGCTTACACGGCTTTTGCCCAAACTGTTGTTTGGAAGGTGAGCGTTAAATGTAGTAGACGATGAAAGGTATTAACTTTGCTTTCAATAAAGGTATTGAAAGACGCAGTGGGCCTACGCTGGTGTCTTTGGGGCATATCCCAAGAAAGTAGCACTCTTGAGTTCATCCCCTCTGAAGCCCGCAAGATGAAGCTGCACAGACATGGGAGGGATGATATTTGAGCACTCAATGGAAAAGTAGGTTTAGTCCATTGGATGGAAATTGGCGGCGAGGCTAAGTCTACAATGCTGCAGAAAGGGCGAGAAACGTAGTGGTAATACAAGGGTGGAGAAATACTGGTTCCACCTGTAGAAGCTTAATTGTTGAGTGATGGAGATGGAGTAGAGGGTTATGGGTGTTGGGTGTTGGGATTTCTCTTCCCATCCCTTCACCAGCATATTATTTACCCTTCTTCCTATCTTGCTATGACAATGGCACACTTCTTGGCACGTGGTATGATGTTGGTACTAATGAGGGCGTTTGGTATGATGAGCTGGCAGTAGGAAAGTTGGTGTATGTATGATGGCTTGGTCTACAGATACAGAGTTCTTCACGCCCAGTTTTCTGTCACAACCACACCTTCGGATCACCTCCATCACCATTAGTTACCATTAGTACTCACTCGAACCTCTCGACTCCTTTGATATTTATATTACCCATCTTTCAAGCCTCAAATTCCTCCAAATTATCTCCAGTAGACCTTTAGACATCTTTTGCAGTCCATCCAACCTCTTCTAGCACTCCAATTCCGCTTCAGCTCCAACGCCCACGCCCCAATCTGACATCTGGTCTGGTACCTCCGTTATGTCTGCAGTCAAGTCGGTTTCGGATAACCTTTCTACCTTTTAATTCCGCTGTATATATCATGATACCTGTAGTCTATTGGCCAATCAAGCAAACTAAACTCCTCAGTTCTCAGGCAATTCTTACTCCGAAGTTCTCTCTACACTATAATAGATATGAGACAAAGTAATCTTGGCTGGGGCATAGTGTGTGGTTCATGGCCACAGCATATACTACTATTGTATTGGTTAGGCGAGCATAAAGATGGTTTCATAGATGTACCCACAATAAAGTGAAACATGTTTGGTCTTACACTTTCTGTTCATAAACCTACAGCATAGTATTGCATGAGTCTATTCACTGTCACCCACTAAACACAACATCATCTGCTCCTCATCACTCTGCAAAGCTCATAACTATAAGAACCCCCACCCTTTTGCTCGTCGCAAGCCGTCTTTCAACAAGTACAGGCCCTCTCCCGTGACTGATCTCTTCGCACCCGGCTTCTACACATCCCTCCCGAGAAAGTCCAGGCTTATTGGATCTCAAGCCACTCCAGCATATTGGGTAATGATTTAGCCGACGCCTCTGCCCGTGGGTGCGTTTCTTTTGACACGGCGACATCCCGCATCAAATTAGAAGTATTGACGGCTTGGAAAGATTACTGGGACCAACATGCTCCAGTTTCCTACAGGGAGCTTGCCATCGACTCATACTCACGCCATCACTAGGAACTCTCACCAGCCAGATCATTTTTCTCTAGGGTATACGCTGCACGCTCGGGACATGGTGAGTTTGCAGAGAACTATCACCGTTTCAATCACGACGACGCATACCTGCATTGCGAATGCGGATAGCTCCAAGTTGTGTTGCACTTTCTAGGTGTTTGGATCCATAGCAGCCTATGGTACGTTGATACCTTAGGCAGCAAGGTAAAACGAGGCGTGCACGGGCACCTACATGAATACTGATATGGATCCATTAGTATTATCCCAGGGATGGATGTAATACGTCAAAGGAGTGAAGACCCTAGGCAACTAGCTGAAAATGTGTAGACGCTATGCTACACGCTACCATCTAATTGGAAAATTACCTTGCACTCCAAGTTAGTAAGTAGCATGGGCGAAGCCACTAGGGCAATAAGCACTGGCATTCCTGCTTCTACTATTAGTTCATTTTATTGTTTTATCTGAGTCTATAACTGTGTAGGATATGCAGGTTCTCTCTACCTACAGGCCAAAGATATCTATACCAGTCGTATATCCCCTCCTATGCCTCCCATACAGCTCCCCTCAAACAGTACCGCCCCTCACAAGACCTCATTCGATCATACACTAAGAGGAGCCCTTTGTCCTTCATTATCTCCCCTCTCCAGCCAACGAAACGATGGCCATTTGCCGGTGTATGGCAGCCGGGAAAAATCGCAAAAACCACTGGGTGCGGGGCTCTTCTAATATCGAGATTAGGGCTAAATCCGAAGACATAGTGACCCTACTGAAGCCTTCGAAGAGGCTGGCCAGCTGGGCGCTGCAGACTTGTGTGTACCTCGGAGGATTCACACTCTGCCTTTCTAGCCTCCTTCCAACTCCTTTCCAAAGCCCGTGCTGAAATTTCAGAAAAGTCTTGACAGAGCGTGATTGAATGAAAGTTTGTTTGTAACGGGCACAAGCCCTGCACTCAAAGAGCATGACACGGAGAATACTAGCTTCCCCGACGACTATATACGACAATAACTCAGTTTGACATTTGGACTACTCATGCAGTGGGTGCATTCGCTGATACCACTCGAGACCTTGGTGCTAGGGACTTCCACCCTTCCCTCAACCGTTAATATCCACCAAAGGGAAAATAGGAAAAACCTTTGGCTACCCTAACATGCCTCTTCTTGTCGTTAAGGTATGAGTGGGGATGAGATGTTGAATATTCTAGGAATAGTGTAGAGGGTGGATAACGATTATCAGAGCTTGACGATATGATGAATAGCTTAATAATATTCGTCTACGTATCACAGTAGTAGATAGGACTTATATACACATATTTGGTACCTGCTATTCAGTACATCACCGTCTATGCAGGAAGTACTACAATCTTAATTCCATGCCAAACTATCCCACATTACTCTATGCCATTGTATAGAGCTGCGCCTCAATAGTCGATCGTGATGATGGCCATGTAGGGCTGTGCAGTACTCGCATAGATGTGTTGTATCCCTGGCACTTGGCAGAGATAAATCTAGGGTAAATGCAATAATCACATCACAACACAGACGCCATCTTGCATGTAGCCGCCGCGCGAGATATAGCCTCATAGTCCTCCCTTTATCGAGTGAGGTAGGTGTCCAGGCTACCCAGACTTTAATTCTGGGAGATGACGACCAGGAGGCGGACCAAAACCCCTTCCATCATTGCCTGTTTTTAGAGTGTCGGTAGCACTATCCTAAATCGTTACCTCGGCGCCCACAGACATCCTTAAGTCGAAAATACTCGAATAATGTGCGTCCCAGCATGCCCGTTAGTGACCTCTTCACTCGTTTGTCCCACATCCCAGCTGCCTGTCCTTCCTCAAGATGTGAAGCCCCATTATAGCAGCGGTACCACATAGACCAAGACCCGAGCTTTATAGATTATGACTTAATTTCCTCTTCGCAGATATACATAGCATCGTAAATGTGTAGTGGGAGATGGCCGGTTTTTGATGAGGCAAATGCGCGATTGCAATTGGAGTAACGCCATTATCGATATTTGAGGCGAGGTGGTGTAGTAAGATTGAGTTGGAGGACTCGCGTGAGAATGATAGATCCGACATTGGCGAGAAGTCGTCGATTTTAGATGTGCTTGTGAGTGCTTTCGACTTCGATTTGGATGCGATTCTTCTTGGCTATCCCAGATATGCGGAGCATACTGAGCCATTACACCGGCACCACTGGAAGGTGAAGAATTCGTCTTTGCCGGTTATGTCCTGATAAGCGATGGTCCAAAATTGTCTGTAGCTTCTTTACTTATAACTAAAGACTTTATATCATACATTGAAGCCGTGGTCACTCATATCAGGATCAGAATGCTTCAATAATCCAAAAAAGCTGTTTCTGCATGGCATTATGACGCTAACGCCTTCCGGGACATGGTGTCATGGTTTCATTACAAAATGCATGGGCGATCTTGTGGGTATAATATGTTCATTATAATTCTCTGAAGATACAATTCCTGTAGCTAATGACTGCCTATGTATACAATCTAAATATTCCCCTTTGAGAAGGTTCAATGCGAATCTTCTAAGTTGCCTGTGATCCAAGATCTTCCCATGAAGCACCCTATCTATAATCACCTGCACTAGACAGCGTAGGCTACTGGAAACCTTAGGCTTGATAGCCGTCATACATCAGTGCTCTTCTTTTTGGTTAAGCCTCTATGATAAGATGATATGATTATTATTATTATCGTGACCGGGTACTGACCCAGCACCCAGAGGGCGTGGCACGGGTAGTCTAGATCTATAGGACACTTCGCTACCTATATTTTTGTTTCATAGAAACTAGGAACGCAGAACAAAAAAAAAAAGAAAACAAACAATTAAATCACCATTTCTAAGGTGCTAATGCCCTGCACTACACCTTAATTCTTGTACCACACCAACCGGTCCCAAGAAGCATTTCTGTTGATCTTTTGTCCCCCTGTTTATGATTCATTCTTGCTGTAACATTTTGTTACAGTTAAAAATCGCCAGAATATTTGCCATCCTTCTTGCCCTATCATGACCCTTGTAGTCGGTCGGGCTTCCTTCGTTTCCGTCCGCCAATTCTGGATAGCCAGGAGACATTCTGCAAAATGCCATGG